CTGTCTGTGTCTCTAATTTGTCTTCAGCCGGTACAACGATAGACCTGGGCTTACCTAGTTCGGACAGTATTCTGATTGCAGCTCATACTATGGTGCGGGGGCACGTGACTTGTCTGGAATTACCTGTTTTCCAGTCAAGCGTTCTCAACGTCTGTAGTGTGAAGAAAGATGCGAACATCTGTTAATATTTTTCCGCAAAACATTGTTTTTCTATCAACGGTTGTTGAGGTCAATTTTTCATACACTGCACTTACGCTTTATTGCGGTTCGTGTGCGTAGATTTCATAATTTTTAGATACAAGTAGATTAGAGCAATGATAAAAGAACTCGTATCACGAGAAGACAGTATTTCATTAACGTTCTATTGGCCTAAATTATGTAGGGTTTGTAAAGAAACACGTTGGAAAGGACTTGAGCCAGCATACATTTACAAGAAAAAAGATGTTATCATGTGACGACGCTCACGGCAACCACATGCATGGCTTCGGAACTTCTGTACGCACGCAACCGATGAGATTTTCTTACGAAGACGATGTAATGGTGGGATTTTATCAAGATGGCCTCAATGACAGACAGAATACTTATTTTTTGGTAGCTTAGCAACCCTGGGAAAGGACACCATCGATTCGAGTTTAGTCTGCCGAGGTGACCGAGCATCAAACGATGGAGATTATCGAACTCAGTCCAACTTTTAGAGTCAGTTGAGCGCTTACTCAAAGGGTGTGTTGCGCCAGATTACTTTCAATTTCAGATGCTAAATAATTACGTAACCTAACAGTACTAAAAACTCGCTTAATGAAGTGCATCTCAGTAAGAGTATTTGTAGCAGTGTACCCGAGGGTTGCTATACCTAACAGTAAACCATGGGTCCAAGTGAAAGCCTCATTTGAATGCAGTTCGGCGTTCGAAACTACTCGTTTTAGACTAGTAGACAAATACCAGAAGCGATTCGTCCGCGCCGAGTTGATAACGGTCTAAAGGCCGCACAGTTCATCCCAACAGCCAAATCTGTTAGGAAAACGGATATGACAACTGTCGGGGAGGTCAGACCCCTGAAAACAACCCCAGACTACCCGAAACCGACTGAAACCCTCAAATTCAACCAAGCCGTCAAGCATCCGGACCGGAAAGTCACTGCACTGTGTCAGTCTGTGTTCACGCAACTGCAGAAGGAGATGCTTCTTCACTGGTTCTCAGTAGAAATCAACCCCTTCAGGATCTCATATATATGACAAAAAGCTTTTGACAGTAACTTCGTCCACTACCAGAGACAATCTATGCTGAGAAGCTGACAAGTACTGTAAAGTTGTTTCATCATCAGCAGTGCACACTTCACGAAACTTCAGCGAGTTTTGAGTCAGCGAAATATTGGCTACTAGACTGAACACTTAGCCCTTTTGTCGCAACCAGTTTAGCAGCACTGTGATTACCGTTCACAAAGATAGAATGTAATCGTCACTCGAAGAGCCAGAGAGCACGTGATCACGTGATGTGGACTCAGTGATTGGAGGATAAGTAGCTCTAGGGCCCGTATAAGTGAGCCAATCACACTGCCGATCAGCTACTCGTGGTCCAATGGTATTTTATCCAACTACTGTTTGGTAGCCAGCCACTCGTGGCTGAACGGTGAAGTATTTAAATTTGAAGCCCGGGGAGTTGGGAGATCAAGACTTACCCAACTTCCAGTCACAGAAACCACATCACATGGTCAATTATTGACCGGTTCCTCTGAGCTTTGTGAGTTCCGCACTGCCGATGATTTCCAATAAGGATAGAACAGCTGTGAACTGCTTCCCACAGATTGGCTTCACATGGAGAACGAAATCACCACAAGTTCATAAGGAATTTAACTCCATCTTCGTAAGCAAGAGCGTCGATATAATTCGAACTTTAAAGAATTAGCGTTATATGAGGAACAGTCATCGCCATCGACCCTGTTCCTCTTGAAAAGTGCTCACTTGCTCATCCCACACGCTTGATCACCATTAAAAAAGACTCCAGACGCCAATTTTTCGACCGTCCTTTGTTTTCATTGAGCTGAGAGACGATCTTTGGGATGTGATTTGTTGAGCAATGTGGTAGTTGGGAAACCGCGCGAAAGTTCAATGTTTATCAAATTCTACTTTACGTCTTCAGTGCAAGATTCAGTGGCGTGATTTCATGCCAGATTAGAACCAGAACATGGCACGAAGTTCCAGGTGAAGACCGCGGTGGCATTTACATCTATCGACAAAGTGACAGAAAATTGAACGACGTGTGGGCATTGGAGAAGTTATTGCCGTAAGCCCGGCCTCTATATCCAGGCACGATTGGTACAAGCATCCGGTCGGCGAGTCAGATGATAAGATCAGGTGAATCTTAGTTCTTTGGCGAGGACTTGCACTTTGAGATCATCGAAAGACAGACAGAATGGTTATAAATGACTTCAAAGAAATTGGAATAAATGAGGGATAAATGAAATATGTCAGAACAGATTACAGCATCTGGAATCGATTTGATAATTGTGGGGGGGGAGTGATGTGAACACAAGCCCTGTCAGTACATTTTGAGTCAGACATCTATTTAAACTCAGGTGAGTGACCACTGATAAAACTGGAACAGGTCTATGGTAAATTTGAGTAGTATAGATAGTCAAACACCCTGTCATATGGGATTTTACGCTACAACCCAAACCCATGTAGGAAACACAAGGAGAAATGACCCGCCCCGCAACAAATTTTGCAAATCCATTTGGGGATCTTGCCACAGATCGCTGTTTATTTATGGCGGCAGATTTGAGCCGTATCGAACCCAACTCAGTCTTCTCAGGTCAAAAAGAAAAGGAATCAGAAATCGGCCTTGTAAAAGGCCATTCGGGAATAACGCATAATTTGTTATTCTTCGTCAACCATTGATGCTCGATGTTCACTTCAGATGAACCTCTTGGGCGAGTTGCTCAGGGAGTACTATTTCTCGGGCTAGTTGAACGGTTATCGTGGCACAGAGTTGGACATGATTTCATGACCATAACCAAGTAGACGATTCGCTCGATTTTTCCGCCCTTGTTACACCCATTCGTCGTTCGTGCTACTCTCCAACCTGATCCTTTCCTCGACTGGGCAGATAAAGGTTACTCTGTGAAACTCAGTTGTTTTTTACTGTTGTTGATTTTCTTGTAGGGTTGATGAGCCGTCGAAAATAAGTAGACTGCTCGGGGAGATGTTTACCCTGATTCGGGGGGAGCAGTCCTCTATCTGTTTTCTGCATAAACCCGGCTTGTACTACTTGAAAGTCTAATTCACAATGGTTAAACTCTCATTCATGGCTTATCCATTCTGATTTGATGAGTGGCCACTGTCAGAGGAAGAACACTGGCTTCTAACCGTATCTTTATTTATTTGCGACCAACATCCAGCCGTATGCACTACGGTCAGTGCGACTGACAAACATGCATGCAAGATTTATCATTGAATGACTTGCATCGATTGCTCTGCCCAAGAGAACTACTTTCGGATGATAAAACCTGTTTTGGCAGGTTTCGCTGCAAATTTATCTATTCCAATGTCTTCGGTGCTAAGCTTATCTGGTCGTGCTAGAGCGGCAAAATAAAATGAAAATCTTTCATCTGTGACACCTTCCCGGTGCCTAGCTACCATGCCACCCGAAGGAAGTACGAGGGCTGTGATACCGCCAGGTTGCCCAGGCCTAGACAGAGGAAGTCGAGAGGCAGAGGTCGGGCTCGAACCACGAACCTTCTGATCAATGAATTCGTGCTCTAACCATTTGAGCAATCTCGCGCGACAACCACTGACGCTCCAAACTCGCAAACCACAGGATCGGACGAGTGCGGCTACCATCAGTCAATTGGAACTTCTTCTTCCACTTCACAGCCCTTATTTGTACCTGCTGGTGTCAACTCATCTTAGGCATGAGTTGAAGTCATTGAGCAACAAGTGATGAAGAGTCTACTCTTGCATTACTTACTTACATTACTGATATACTGTCCATCTTGAGTGAAGGTAACCAAAAATTCGTCGAATTTTCTTCTAGAAAGTCTTGAATTGGACTATTTCTAGCACTGATAGTCAAATGTTCCTTGAAGATGTGAGACCACATTTGAGGCGTTTTGGGTGAGCCTTAAATTCCTCTATAGATAAATGCGCCGTTCAGCTGCAACATTCTTCCGGTGCCCAACTGCCATGCCAGCTGAAGGAACCCTGAGAGCTAGAATACTGCCAGGATGTCCACGCTTAGACAAAGGCAGTCGGATCACGAACCTTCCGCGCAGCAAATGCACGCTCTAACTACTGAGCCATCTCGCCCCGATAGAGAAACGCATGGTTGTTGAGTAAACGTTTATGTACATTTCTGAAATGCTAACTAATTATGTTTGCTGAAGCCACCGTCGTCAGGACAATTTGCTCCATCCTCTCAGGAACTCTTGCACTTAAGATGGAACGTTTCCTGTCAGATACTGCTGGCTTTCTGCTTTCATATTTTGGCTATGGGAACAGCCCACCAGGAGCCAAGTATTGATTGGTAGGCGAACTTCTACATGTTTGGTCAATCGGAATCGCCATCCACACTCCTTGCCAAGTCAGTTTGCCGTCTGTCCAAGTTCATGTGGTCTATTTATTTCACGCCTTGGTGTGGGACGATATGTGGTGGGTCTTGAAGCCCCTAACTCAGCTGCCCCAGTACACTGCTGTGTCCGCGAGACAGCACGATTTGGCCCCTAGTTTATCATGTCTGTAACAGCCACGTGCCTGGGGAGACGGTGGCTCGGTGGCTCGCCATTCGATGGTGCTTACACCAAACGGATGAGCGCGCATGCATTCATCTGTGGGGGGATTCAATATGCCATGAGCTGCTCGGGTGTTGTATAGGCAAGCAAATCGTGGCATCAGAGGTCTGTCGTCCTCAATCATATGAAACTCGATATAAATTGTCACTCTCCTCATGGTTACCGCGTCGTTTAACCACCATTTTTAAAAGACGTTCGTATATGCATTTCTTCCCAGGCATCCTAACTATTGACAGTGTTGAACTCAATGACGCTGGGACCTACACCTGTTTGGCACAGTCACCGGAAAGTGATGCAATCAGCAAGTCGTTTAAAATTAAAGTTACCGGTACGTTGATATGCTGGACTCGCTACTTCCCCCCTATTATAGCTAGAATTATAACAAATGCGTTTCTACTGTGCGTTTTCACTCACACCCTGAATGAGTTGCGGAAGTATGTAACACCGTGCCTCCATCTTTTAGTATCATTTTATCGTAAGTGAAGCTTCCCGGGATCTGCTCATTCAGAACCCTGAAACTAGTCCTTGGCTTGTTGTTCCATCAATTACAGCGTGAAAGAAGCCTCAAACAACTCACAATAGAATGAAATAACCACCTATAGAGCAATCTGACGTGTTGACAAGGTCACGCTAGGTCATGCTAGTGACCAGCTGACCAGGCTCCATTCTGATTGGCCAGTATTCTGACCAATCACGGCATGCCTCATTAGATCCTCGCCTTAGATCAGCACAATCGGTGTGAGTTTGGACTGTCGGGTTCGGAGAGACGAAGATCAGATAGTGCATTCCACTGAGTCCATTATGGAAGCATACAGTCATAACATCAAATTATGGAAATGGCCATACAGATGACAGGACTTGATATCGAAGAGGTCTGAGAAAAAGTGGAAACAATCAAAACTTGTGGAAAAAACGCTTCGCTAGGTTATACAGGAAAAGTAGTCACAAATGACTGTCGCATCAGGCGTAATTAATACCGGATGAATTATGTTGTGTTTCCAAGTGAATTGAATCCAGTTATCAGCTTCCATCAACACTTGTGCTTAATGCAGGTTGCTTTCAGAGGCGTATGTACTAATTCGGTGGTGCTCATGCGAAAAGTTAACCACCCTATAAGTGTTGCTTACCAAGATCAATTGAGGATTGATCAACTGTAAAAGTTAATGGCTTACTAGATAATATGTAGGCTACTATAGGGAACAGTGCAAAGCGTAATTTAGTACCCACGTAATCCCATGCAATTTGGTGGCCATCAAAACTCCAGTTTGCCCCTAAAGAGACCGAATTAGTTAGCTTTTTCTAGCGTTGATAAACCCTTCCACACAAATCACGCTAAAATATCCGACCCCTTTCCACACACCTTTTTAGCCCCAGCACATCTGGTCCCCCAACCAAATAGCATTGTCAAGGCTAGAAAAGGAAGCAACATCCTCCTTGCGTGCCTACTCACCGACAAGGCGTTCACTGGAAACGGTGAAGCCCATTCAGCAGACACAGAGAACGGAAACACCTGGCAGAATTCCCTGGACAAACAGAATCATAACCGGACTGATGGAAACCTAATTCGTGGGTTTCAGCCTGGAACCGATATTGGTTGGCTGTACAACGGGAAGAGTATACGAAAATACCGGGACGAGGATATGCCACTCATAGAGGGTAAGTAGTAGGAAGTCGCCGTTAATGACAGTATTCCCGAACAGGATAGTTCCCATGGTTTTTCGATCATGCACCGGAAGTGAATCTTTTTTCCCGATAGACCACATTGCGATTTGACTCGGGTGGGAATCAATTAAATTTTGTCCTTACCACTTCTGTTTATGAACCACCGTGTCATGGTCGAAAGAGATTTGCCTTCGAAAACGAGCACAGGTTTCTTGTTCCTTTGAAGCCTAGTTTGAATACACAAATCTCGACGGTTTGTTGTTCCCCAGACCGGTGATAGACCACTTGCCTGTCAGCGACAGCGTCCAACGGACAGATCTGGAACCAATAAACGCTCCAGGGCTATCAGTGTAACGGTGTATACTACTGGTGGAACGGAAAAGTAATATCTGGTCAGTTAGTTCAAATCGCATCTAATGCAAGGTTGATTCGGAAATTACTGGATCGTTTTACAGAGTTTTCTCAATTATATCAAATTTTTAAACAATGCTCGAAATGTTCAATAGGATACTGATTTTTTTCAAAAACTCTGTATAAATGAGGTTCTAACTACACGTGTGATTATTTGTAATTCGTCCTTAACAGCAGACGCATCCACCCATCAAGACCCTGTTCCTTTCACCAGTGTTTTGGCTTACCAAATGTGATATATTCACCTATGTAATTTTACTGTCTCGAGTTGACCACAGACAAGGTTTAGTCTGATTGCAACGACAGGTCGGGTCTAAGCTTGAAACGACACATGCTGGGTTCTGAGCCTCGAATAGTGTCATTCAAAGGTTTTAAATGACTGTTTTTCTTTAAAACGCGTGGACATTTATTGAGAAAAAACGAGCAGGTGGGTAGAGGAATCACATGTGACAAGTTTACCAACTGAGGTGTACACTTGGAAGAAACATCCGCACTATAAGGCAAGTGTGAACGAGTAGGCCAGTATGCATGGAATGCAAAAAAACTAACGTGAAGGATGATGTGGACTGGTTTTGTTGGACTGGGGACGAGCTTCTCCGCTTCTCTTCTCGTCGTAGTGTCAATTTACACGAGCTGTCGCCATGGCAACAGACAAGCACGTACATGTTTACTTTGCATACCTAGTTCAGAATTTAACAAGCTCACGCCCAGGCCGACTGACAGGTGTGACAGTACACGGCATGAACAACAATCACGTGACAGGTGTGTCGTGGTAAACATAAATAAGAAGTCTGAAGACTGGATTGCAAACCACTGCACTGAGAGCGCTGCAG